AATTAGAATAGGGTTTTGGGCCCCACTGTACTATATTTATAATAAGGAACCCCCAAAAACCTATTCTAATTATTAAGGCCCCTATATTAGTAGGAGGGGATCCATCAGCCAGGGGGACGAACTTGTCATGGAGGCTCATCACGACGACAGACGAGCACAGCATCAGTGGGTGTAGGGCATGTAGGGCCGCCACGCAGGAACAGTCTGATCCCCAAAGCTTTAGTGAGCTCCTTGCCACTGCAGGGGTCTAATTAAAGGACCATGTTTCTGCACATGGAAGCTCCAACTCTAAGCTGGCTGTGCTTAATGATCAGAGCAGATGTTTGAAATATATTTTAGTATAGAACTAGAAGAAGGAGCCCTAAGGAATAGTGTTACGAGTTATTGCCACAGGAGCTCTTTCGCATGACCATCTTTTTCGTCGGCACCCTGGAGAAGGTCCACCAGCGCGGCTGGCTGCATGCGGACCTGCAGCCGAAGGATTTGTTGATGCCAGACAAATCTGCCTAACCCATCTCAACCCAATATGACAATACCGTATGGGTAGTTCTCTAAATGAGGGTCCCTTTTTTAGAGTCCTTTCTAGAAGGGTGCCATATTATTCTGGGGACCTAGAAGGGGACCCTAACCCTTTACGCCCTAAACCCCAAAGCCGAAGGATTTGCTGGTACTGGACAAATCTGCGGCCTGGCAGCCACTCCGGCAGACGACGGAGAGCATGATGCAGGAGGAGCCTGTAGCAGCGCTGCTAAACGAGCTGCAGCGACGATACGAGTAGTGACAGTCATAGTGAATACACTAATCATCACTAATACCACCTACCACGACCTACCACCACCGGCTTCCACTCTCCACCCCCCTTACCGTCACCCATCATCCATCATCACCAAGACCAGCACCACCCTCCTCCTCCTCCTCGTCGTCGTCGTTGACATAACGGGAGCTTGCACTGGCATCCGTCCTCCCGTCGCAGCGCTTCGGCTGTGATCTTGCTCCAGTGACGTGTCCTCGAAAGTTCTCCACCAATCTTCCGTCACTCCCAGGCCACGAGGAAAGTCGGGGCAGGGCTTTGCTGCTGGTGCTGTCTTTGTAGCCAGCTGTGCTCCCAGGAAGGCTTGCAGGTCTCCCTCTAAGAGAGGCAATGGTGCACCTTAAGCCGAGAGTACGTTTGACCTTAACCCCGCAACTCGATGCGTTGCTCACTGAAAAAACCCTAAATTTGCAAAGCTTCAGCAATTCTTACTTGCAGCAGCCATCGTGATTGCTCCTATTCTTCTGCGATCAGTGTCTACGACTCTATGCTTGTATCTTACACCTCCAAAACCTTAAGTGTCACAACCGCAGCTTCGTAGCCTTGCATGAACCCGCAATTCAACCTTGCTGGGAAATTCTAACTGCTAACCCTCAACCCTCAACTCTAAACCCCTAAAGCCTAAACCCCTAAACCCCTCAACCCTGAAGCCCTAAACCCTAAACCCCTAACCCCCTATTGGCGAGGGTTTCTGGTCGACATTCAGGGGTGCGGGGCTTTCGACGTTTACTACTTAGGCTTAGGGATAGGGAAACCCTCAACTCCAAACCTCTAGAATAATAACAGCAGGTATCCCCCCAACAGCAGCACAATTTTTATCGTTTTCTGGGGGGCACGAGCGCACAATGTTCCGCCGCTGATCTGCTCCGAAGCTAGAAGGGCTGAAGACCCCAAAGCTAAAGCTGTTGGGGAAAGCACGAAAACACTGAACTCTAACACCATAGGGTTTTTGGAAACCCTATCCTAAACTGGTGCTTAGGGAGGTGGCTGGACAATAGTTTGCAGAGGCTCAGAGCCAAGTCGGGAGTCGGCAAAGGCCGCCGAAATACAGAGGTCCGAACATCCTAAAGCCTAAACTCGAGAAGCTTTATCATTCCTTCGGGCTGAGTATAGCTGTGATACTGTTCCTTCGGGTTCCTGATGGTAGTTGTAGCGCTGTTCTAATTCCGCAAGGCCCGTTTATAGTGCCCTTGCATCGGCTCGGTTTGGTTCAGGAGGCTCAAAGCACGACGGTTTAGGGTTTAGGGTCAAACGTTCCCTGAGCCGGAGCTTCATAACCCTTAAAGGTGTGTAGGGAGTGCGGTTCACTTTTGTTGGGTTTGGGGTATGCCATATGCCAAAATTCTAGGACTTAGGCTGAAACCGTAAGCCCTGGAGACCCTAAACTGAAACCCCAAACCCCTAAACCCTGAACCCGAGATCCTGAACCTTTGTAGAGCCTTTGTACACTTTAAACGAACCCTTAAAGGTACGCGTAAAGGTGGCCTTAAAGGAACCGTTCAACAGTAAACTTGAAGAGGGGTATGCCACGCAGTCCAGGGGTTTGCGATCAGCACTCAGGGTATAATACTGTTCACCCGAAACCCTGAACTCTAGACCTTAAACCCCTAAACCTGAAACCCTTACACCGTGTTCGCCGAACTCCACTCCCAACTTCTTTTTTTCTGGAAGATGAGCTTTCGGAAAAGCCCTTGACTCTAAGGAAAGGCCGCCCTGGCCCTAAACCCTGAACTTTTTTAGTTCAGGCTAAGGGGTTGATACCCTTGAAATTCAGAAATTAAGGATTAACGCAAAGTTCTCAGCTCGAATCCGTGAGCATGGGGCTTGCAACAAAAAGCCTATGCGAGGAGCCGATCGGATTGATCTGCGGTTGGACGCACGCCATGCGATGGACCGCGGATGCAGCAGAGCTGCAGCGCAGAGAGGTCTGCGCCCAGTTGCCACTTGACTGCCTATTTTCCGTTATGATTTTTTCTTGGGGTTTGCGCTGGGCCCGGGGCGCTCGTACCTAAACCTCCAACCCCTCCACCATGAACTTTTTTAAAGTAGCAAATAGAGTTTATCAGGTTGCAGACCCTGAGCGCGTCAAGAACACCCGTCAAGGTTTATTGCCCCACTAAAGGCTGCCGGGCTTCCTTGGTGAACTGAACCGTCCTGTTCTTGCTAGACCTGCTGGTCCTGGTCATCTTGTTCGTGGCGTGGTCGTCGTGGTCATAGTGGTCGTCGTCGGGGTGGTCCTGGTCCTGGTACTCGTGGTCATCGTGGCCTTCTGGTGGTCCTTGTCGTCTTTTTCGTCGTGGTCACCGTGATTGAGGCCCTAGGAGAGATCCCTCGTAGATTCCTGACAGGAGCTCTTAAAGAAGTTCTTATCCACAACCCTAAACCCTAAACTTGGCCCTAAACCCTAAACCCTCTAACTCTAAAGCCCCCCCTTTTCAGCCCTGCCAGCCTGATCTACTGTCACAGTGTCCCCAACTCTAACTAAAGCCCCCCTTTTCAGCCCGGCAAGCCTGATCTGCTGTCCCCTTACAGTAACAGGAACCCACGGCTCCTAGACCATCCTCCCTTTTAAGGAACCCCGAATAGGAACCCTGAAGGGAGCCCTTATAGGGTTCCTTTGCTGGCATCTTTCAGGGGGTTTCTGTTCCTTCAAGGGTCACCCCTGAAATCCTAAACAGCCAACTTCTAAGCCGAAGAAACCCCAAAGCCCTAAAGCTCCAAACCCCAAAAGCCCAAATGCCCCAAACCCTAAATCCTAAACCCTAAAGTAAAGCCTTCAAAGCTTCCCTAAACCCTAAACCCTAAGCCCTAAACCCTAAACCCTAAACCCCAAAGTAATGCCTTTAAAGCTTCGAAGGCAGGAGCTGCTCGGGACAGGGCCGCTCTCGGTGGCCTCGGCGATCTCCTTGAGCGGAGTGGTCTCCGTAGCTGAGAGCCGCTTGGATTTTTAAGACTTCGTTTAGGGTACCTTTAAGGGTTTCTTTAAAGGGTACCAGGGCTTTTTGAGGTTTTAGAGTTTAGGGTTTCTTTAAAGGGTACCAGGGCTCTTTGAGGTTTTAGAGTTTAGGGTTTCTTTAAAGGGTACCAGGGCTCTTTGAGGTTTTAGGGTTTAGGGGTTTTGGGGTTTAAGGGTTGGGTTTTTTGCTTCATGGAGGGTGCGGTGTATAAAGGGTTCCAAAAGGCATAAGGTTTTGCTCAAGGATCCTTTGCGGCTAGGCCACGATGACGGTTTCGATGAGGGGGCCTACAGTAGATGGCGAGGGTTCAGGGCTTGCGGGCCGCCTAAACCCGCCAAACCGTAATGTTTAGGCATCCAAATTTCAGGGCTTTGCGGAATTGGGGGAAGTTTGGAGCCTAGAGTTTGGTTTCTGGATTTTTTCAGCAATGCCACGCAGTTTAGAAAGTCCGGAGATTTTCAGGTATTTAGGGGTTCTTCTAGTGAATCCGATACCGCCGATACCCCTCGACTTTTCTAGCAAGCGCCTACGCTCCTCTATTTCTGAGATGCCTTCGACACCAGTAACCCCTAAACCCTACACCCCGAAACCCTTCAACCCCAACCCGAGTCCGAAAACCCTTCAACCCTAAACATGAGACCTCAAGCCCTAAACATAAAAACCTTCAACATTGAATCGTGAAACCCTTAGGCCCTAAACCCCAAAACCCTNNCCTTAAGCCCTAAACCCTTAAGCCCGGGAGGCCGACGCCAAAAGCCTTCCAAAGGAAACTTCTTGCGAAGTCCGCGTCCTCGTGCCAGGAAAACAAAGGGCCTCTGGCCCAGGCCTCGTAAGAGCTGAGTGGAATTCTCTTAGATCCCATCCTAACATCCCTTCAAAAAGGCCGTGAAAAAAGCGCTTTTTTTTTTTATGGTTTAGGGGCCAGAAACACAGAACCCTGGAGCCCGTATAAGGCTCAGAGGCGATTCCTCAGAGCCTAACTCGGCTTTTCAGCGCACGCTTCGATACTTTTTCTGAACGCTGGTACCCTAAACCCTAAACCCTAAACAAGAAATGCAGAGGCGCTGTTTGGGACAGAAATCAGAATGTGTCATGATCCCGGTTAAGGGCGGTGTTTCCTGCGCGGAAACTTGATGGAGCAGGAGACCAAGCCGGTTGACACTCACAGCTTTGCTATTTTTTTCTCCCCGAAACCCTAAACTCTACACCCCTAGACCCTAAGCCCTTAAAAAAGTCAGACTCTGCACCCCTAAACCCTGAACCCTAAACCCCCAAAGCCCTAAACCCTAAACCCTAAACCCCTAAACCCTTTAAGGCCTAAACCCTAGACCAATCAGGCTACTCCTCGGACAAGCAGTTCCGGAGCCGCCTGGCGAGCCTTCCGAGCCCTTCTGCCTCTTAGCAGCCGAATTACTGTTGCTGGTATAAATCCTGCATCACCTTAAGGACCCTAAACTATGAGAATTATTATGGGTCATGCAGGATTTATATCATCAACCGTAGTAAGCTTTAAGCCTTTTCTGGGTTCAGGGTTTAGGGGTGTTAGGGGTTTAGGGATCTAGGGGTTTAGGGGTTTAGGGGTTTAACGGTTTGGGGGTTTAGGGGTTAAAGGGTTTGGGTTTAGGGGTTTTAGGGGTTCAGGGGTTCCGGGGTTCAGGGGTTCAGGGGTTCAGGGGTTTAGGGTTTAGGGCTTAAGGATCTTAGGGTTCAGGGGTTCAGAGGTTTAGGGTTTAAGGATTTAGGGTTTTAGGGTTTCAAGCTTAAGGCGATTCGGAT